TTCCAGGTTTCTGAATGGTGATCTAACGATGATTGATTCACAATTTCAATTTAAAATGTATATCAATGTTATAAATCAACTCATTGTTTAGCAGCTAGGTTGACTGAGATCTTAGGTAGAATCTGGGAACTGGACGTAATCCCATCCGACTGGTCTCAATCACTGATACGGTGCATTTATTCTTTGTGTTCTCTCAAATCCTAATCTTCTGCATTCTTCAACACCTCTAGTTTTGACCTTCTAAACTTTTCTCACTGAATCATACTTCTTGAATAATATTTTCTAATCCTAACCTCTCCGATTACTTCTAATACCTTTATTACCTCTTCTATTATTGGATTTGAATTGACAATCACATCTGTGTGCTAATGTGGTATGGCAACATGAACTGATGTACTAACGTACGAAGTTCTACGTTGCATCTGACTGACTGACATTGTCAATGAATGTTCTCTCCACTGGTTCATTATTGTATTTTACATTGCCTGTCTCCTTAATGTTAAGACATTTTGTCCTGTAATATTATGTTATGTATTATACTTCTAGTTCATTTCAAACTATTGATCATATTTTTTAGTTTAGCATTTGTAAACTGTTTTTATGTTAGCCAACCTCTCATATCATCATGTAAGTGACAGATGTCAATCTCACTCCCACAAGCTGTACCAGTCCCTATAAGACTAAGTGTCAGCCTTTTCACTAATTAACACAAAATCTTGGTGAAACAGCGATTTTTATTTAACGAGTACCTCACACTGTGGTGCGCGCTACTTATAAGTAGTATATGACACTAGTGAAAACGTAATGTCTGGCAGCAGAAGATGGAGGAAGATCAAGAGGAAGGAAGAGTGGAAACACAATGGAATTTGTATGAAACGAATGAACAGTGGTGAAATGTCAGGCAATGGATTGATGATGGATTGAAGATTTGCAAATTATCGGTTTACAATATGGTTTTCCTATTTTACTGAGTAACTCTGTAATTTGCGATAAATATATGCAATTCGGTTGCCCTCACCTGTGTTCTCCTTCACTACAACACCACTTTAACATGTCTAAAATATCATTCTGATTATACTATTATTCTTGATTTAATCGTACATTCTTTATGGAAATTCCTCCTATTGTCTAATATAAAATACATCAAGGATTCTTCTAGGAAATTTCATTAACTAGAAGCTTGAACAGAGAAATGAGATGACATATTTTGTGAGATAGTACCATTTCGTGCTTTCTCGTCAGTCACATACAACAAGCAACATGTTATTTGTGTAAATACAGCAGTTTTGAAGATAAGGTCAAAATTTCTTAATCAGCATGACATTCACTCACTAGAACCATGGTAAACAAAGGTCAACATAGAGTTGTTGTTTTTGAACACATAAAGTTGGACTTTTCCGACCAATCAAGATAGCTTCGAGTAGTTTCAGTGTGTGTGGGTTTTGATGACATGTCACACAACTCTATAAAGGCTGATTTTAGGTCAATTTGATGACCACTCATCATTAGATGTTTTGCAAAACATATCTTCAAAACTGTATTTACACAAATAACATGTTGCTTGTATGTGACTGACGAGAAAGCACGAAATGGTACTATCTCACAAAATATGTCTTCTCATTTTGTCTGTTCAAATTTATCAAAGGGAACCACTGTTTTGGATTAACTAGAAGCCTTGAAAACTTGTTCCGCATTGGTTGTCGACACGCATCAATCTTATCATTTGATCGAGACCAGTGACAAAATCTATCAAAATCCCACATTTTTTTCGACACAATTCTGGTGTAATTTCTAAGTTGAAACAAAACGAAAACGCAGTTTCATTTACTAAAAAAAACAATTTGGTTACAAACTATATGCATATTTCATCTTTTCCTATATTAAAAAGTCATTTTTTTACACAGATCATATGTAATATGTATGATACATCTGTCATTAGTCAAAAAATAACTAAAACCAATCCACTATTTCCACTACGTATGTGTGTGTGTGTGTGCGTACCCAGTTGGTTGATGATCATAATTCAACTGGATAAAAAAAAAGGATCGTTTGATAGACATTGATTATTTGTATGTGCGTGTATATGTGTGTGTGTTCGTGTGTACGTGTGTGTGTGTATGTCCATTTATAATATAGATTCATTGTCAACTTTTCATACATATCATCATATTCAATGTGTCTAGCTTGTCAATTGATGATCTATTCGACTATATTTCAGTAGTATAATTATTATTATTATTATTATTATTATGACTGTTATTATTGGTAGTCATTATCGATAATAGTGAGTGATTGTTGAAAAATGGGAAGAGAACCAAAAACAAGACAAAACAATTTTGCTTCGTTTTGTTTTTGATGTGTGATCAAATTGTTAGGGCTACATATTAGTGAGCTGTTATTATTATTATTATTATTATTATTACTAGTTCTGGTAGTGTAGTGAACAAGAACGCAGGTGGGGCAACCGGACTGTATTTAACGAAAATTACAGAGTTGCTCAGTATAATCGGAAAACCATATCGTAAATCGTTAATTTGCAAAATATCAGTTCATCATATCGAACTGGACTGTTCCTGTTGCAAAACATCAATCTATTGTCACTATTCATGTGTTTCATACAAATTCCATTGTGTTCTAACTCTTCCTTTCTTGATCTTCTCCCATCTTCTGCTGCCAGACATTACGTACCACAGTAGTCGTAGTAGTAGTATACATTTTGTCGTGAGCTGTTATTATTCATATTCGAACCCATGAATCAATCAATGTTAGACCACCATTAGAAACCTGGAAGCATTGAAACACGGCCGTTTCATCCTGGTACGGGACTACTCATCAGTGGCAGCGGACATCCACGACTCCTGCATGTCGCAGGATTCGAACCCAGGGCCTTCGGGGGGTTGTGCGCGAACGCCCTAACCATTAGACCACTGAGCCGGTATTTAGCGGTGTTAATGGCTAACTGTTATTCGTATTATTACTAGTATTCAGAAAAAAATGTAGACCAAAAATATGGTTATTATCTTTTAATTCAAGTTTATAATTTAGTTTTTTTTCAATGGACAATCACTCGTCACAAAACTCGGGATGTACGTTTTGTCTCATTCATTTGTCAGATGTAACTAGATTACGGGATGGATGTTGGCACTAACTATCCTAATCCTACTACTATACCTGTATTTCTTCAAATATCATCATAATATTTGCTAAACTATATACATTTTATTCAATGGCAATGTTGTCACATGGATCGATTCTTAGTTAGGAAGTAGTCTGTATTCAAAGTTATCAGTGTAGGAAACTTGTAGAGTGTTGGGGATGTTAGATCCTCAAAACTCACTTGATACAGATCTTAATTTTGGATTTTATGTTTTCGAGGATGAGATGATCATTTGACCTTGAGGTTACATTTCCCACTCGGAAAATCGTTGACAGTCATTGGTTGATATGTTATTTGAGTACGCTAATTTTGTGGCTCTCACAAAGACGTTTGTATCTCGATTTGTGTGATTGTTAAGCTCGATTTTCTGGGTGCTTGTAGAATACACTTTCTACGTCTTATCAAGATTGCTAATCCATTGGGGTTTCCCCGCGTGGGTTCGAATCCCATCCCCGTCGCCACTGTTCTGTTCGTCACTTGGTACGCTTGAAGCTATTACGAGTTCACCTTAGTCGATAAACGCGAACAAACTGCAAAACAGAAGACTTGGTAAGCGTAGAAAGTATATTCTACAAAAACCCAGCAATCACAATACAATCAAGCACACAAATCTCGTTTATTTATACATCATAGAAACGTCCTTGCTAGAGTCACAAAAATAGCACACTAAAATACACAGCAGCCAATCACAACCAAGGATTTTCCTGATGGAAAATGAAATCTCAAGGTCAACTGATCAGCCCATGCTCGCAAACGTGAAATCCAAAATAAGGCATTTATCAAGCGAGTTTCGGGGATGTAACATCCCCAATACAAGACTTCTTCAGTTAGACGGGGCTACGGATTTGAGTAGCCTATCGTGTGACCGGGTCATTATTGTCTCGTTCTCGTTTATCGACTACAGTGAACTCATAACACCATTCAAGCATATCAATCTAACGAGCATAATATAGAGAATATCAAATTTCTTAGTTTGTATCATAAATTAATCTTAATTAAACAATCATTGATTATCAGAAAGTAGAGTTCAACTGGATAGGGAATCTAAAATTATCCATTTACACATTTTTAATTGGGTTGAATTCACTTGCATTAGAAATTATTAGTGAAATTTTTTTTAAAAAAAAACCATTTATTCTGTAATTAAATTAATCGTAAAATCGAAGAAATCAATAGAAAATCATTTTAAAAATGGAAACAAATCTTGTGAAATCACTATTGATTATTAAAACAATTAGATACGTTGTTCAGTAAGATTATTTGAAGCATCCAGTATAAATGAACTGAAATTTAAAAGTTAATAGTCTAGAACCGTTCAAGTTGATTTTGTCAAATTTATCACAATTGGCTAAAGATTCTATTTTTTTGAGACCAAAGGACAATTATTGTATAGTTAAGTCCAAATGATAAATCCTAACATCGGGCGGAGGACAATTCACTGTAAGTTATTATGTCACAACAATAAACAAACTGAATCTCTATATTTCAGTTAGAGTTATTAAGATTAGTGTTGGTTGTGCACTGAAATCATCAATCAATCATTGTTAGACCACCATTAGAAACCTGGAAGCACTAGATAACGGCTTCGTCCTAGTATGGGACTCATCAGCAATGTGCATTCACAACTCCTTAACGTCACAGGATTCGAACGCCTAACCTCTGGACCACTAGGCCGGCATCCGACGGTATTAATGTCTAACTCTGATCAATCTACAGATTTTGCGCGATCTCATCACCTCACTGAGGAATCAATCAGTTCTATATTAGTAATTCATAATTTTTTTTACAAACAGCTACAAAACATCACTTAAAATGAATTTCATAAATAATCACTAGTACTTACCTCGACCAATTGAAGGAAATCGACTATGCGATAATTTTGTACCAGATGTAATAGCTGACATTTTTGTAGCTTTATCATGATGACATGAACTAGTGGAATCATTGGAACTCATTGAACCCATAATTGATGGTTCCATTCGAGTTCCCATACGTGGTAGTCTAGTTGATATCATATTACCACTACTAGTATTGCTGTTATCTTTGGTTGTCACTAATGATGAACTGTTTGGAATGCCTTCATTAGATTTACTAATGATACATTTAGTATTTTTGGTTAAATGATTATTGTCTGTCAGTTGATTTGATGAAATTTTTGATGACAATGAAGACGATGATGAAGACGTTGTTGTTGTGACTGGCGGCGGTGATGAGACTATCGCTGAAGATGTCGTCGATGTTGTCTGTGACTGTACAACAGCCTCATCATTCAATTTATATTGATCTGCACAATTGTCAACCATCGATAAAGGATATTGTATTCGATTATATTGGATTTTAGCTTGTACTAATTGTCTACAATGTACCGCTAACGATTGCATTAAACGACCAAGTTGTACCAATTCTTGATCGATCGGATCAATTGGATCATAGTCAGTGAATACATCTAATGGAATTGGCAATGCCGTATCATTATTATTATTTAATGCGGTATGTTGTGACAATGAATTGCCGGATGAGTTGTTGTTCAACGGATTCGTTTCACATGTTGGTTTAGTGATTTGTGTTAAACCATGTATGAAATTGGCACGTTGTTGTTGGTTTTGATGATGGTAGTGATGCTGCTGGTCGGTATCGATTTCCTAGATTGATTTAAATGTATATAACCAAGGTTTAGTAGTTATCTTGGGGGAAAGTAAATTCATAACACTAAGAAACTAGACGAATGAGTTAGCTAGTTCATGATAAAAACTCTGTTATATGAGTTTCAAACAGCTGTAATCATTAAAACTACGGTTCAGAAATAACGTCGTCAACGAGATAGTATTACAGATTACACATTTTTGAAACCATGAATTGATCAATGTTAGACCATCATTAGAAACCTGCAAGCACTGGATGGCCATCAAGTCCTGGTATGGGACTCCTCAGCAGTGCGCATGCATGACTCCTGCATCCCGCAGGATTCGAATCTATGACCTTCGGTATTGTGTGCGAACGCCTAATTATTGGACCACTGAGCCGGTATCTAACGGTGTTAATGTCTAACTTGATCAATTCACGGAGTTGCGCAACCTCATACACAGTATTCGGTAGTAGTTATTGTCTACACCCGAACAGGTTGAACTTCACTGGTCACGTCTTCCCACCACTAGAACTCGGAGAAGATTCCTCACGAAGCTAGTCACCAAGTGAGCACAGGTAATTTGCATTACGGGGTTGTGAAGATTGTTAAGTTACACATTTTTGAAACCATGAATCGATCAATCAAAGTTAGACCACCATTAGAAACCTGGAAGCACTGATGATGAGACAATCATTTCCTAAATAAAGTTTATTCAATTTAAACCAGTATTAAAGGGCCTATAGTTTTTAAATCTCATCAGCCTAAACTTAAGATAAATTGTTTTACAATTCTTATTTCATGAGTTTTCAACAGCTGAGCTGGTGCAATGTAGATTGTTATATCTTGAGTAGAATTTAGGAATTGTGTTGTCTGTCTTTGTTAACGAAAGGATAATTAAGGGAGATTTTGAAATTTAAATCTACTCACTCAATGATCACAGGATAAGTTTGTTATTTAGGATTAATCCCTTTTAGTTATTTATTTTAGTTCATTTTGCTCACAACACGATTTCCGTATATCCATCTGAAGATTTTCTATTTACTAGCGAATCAATTCATTCCAAAAAATACATGCACTGCCTTAAATACCAGTTTAAATCATAAATTCATCAAGCATTTTATTGCATTAGACTACGGTAATTTACAAACGTAGTGATTTTAGTTAAAAAAGTCATTAAAACCATAAGGCGGTACTAGACATCTATTTAATTCTAACATGGAACTCCTTAGAAGTGTGCATCTATGGTAATTCTGAGTATAGAATCAAGAGTTTGCAGTTCTTGCCGCCAATACTCAACCCTTAGACCATTGAGCTATCGCCCAGTGGTTTATATTATTTCTTTTTCGAATCGGATCTGTTTTTTTTTATTGTACACATAAATTGTGTCACAACTTACATTCTAATATTTACTATACTACAAGATTTTACTAAATATTTCCTTTCCACTTGAATTGATTCTTTAATTACCTATGATCATTTCTATAAATAACTCAGACTATGGAATACTGTGAACAAATTCACTATCAGTGAACTAACATTTCATTTATGAATGTTAGATCATTAAGGGAATATTTGTCCCGTTAATTTATTTTATCGTTGATTAATACTCTCAGTTTTTGATTGAAGCAAAGATTACGAGCAAGAAGCAGACGCGCTTATAATGCTTGAGTATAAAGTTATGGATGTGAATCATTGCATGCCAACTCAGTGGGTCAAAGATAACGATATCATCACGCGATCTGAAGGTCTAGACATTCATCGATCGAGGGTTTTTGGTTAACCCCACTGTTGAAGAGTTCCATACTTGGATGTAACAGCAGTTCATTAAACTTTTGATTTTTACTGATATCTCAGCCAATGTCAATCTAAACCAAAGACTACTCCCAACATTCAATGACCGATAGTTCACATTTTCCCAATGCTCACAATCATGTAAATATGAGGTTCAGTGTTTTTTCTTGAACGCTCTGGATAATGCACATTTTTCTGAAGCAAAAATCTTATAAAGATGTATGCATTGGTTAAACTAACTGATTTGGATGCTAGATAATACTTACTTACTTACTTAAGCCTGTTACCCCCTATGGAGCATAGGCCTCCTACCAGTTTCCTCCAACCAACTCTGTCCCAGGCTTCCCTCTTCAGTTCTGTCCAACGTTTGTTCATTTCTCTCATATCTTTCTATATTTCTCGGCGTAATGTGTTCCTTGGCCTTCCTCTTTTCCTTTTGCCTTCAGGGTTCCATCTGAGGGCTTGTCTCGTGACACAGTTAGGTGCTTTTCGTAGTGTGTATCCTATCCACTTCCACCGCTTCTTCCTGACTTCCTCCTCCACTGGAATCTGGTTTGTTCTCTCCCACAGTACGTTGTTGCTGATGGTGTCTGGCCAACGAATCCGAAGTATTTTGCGTAGACAACTGTTCATAAACACTTGTATCTTCTGGATGATGGCTTTGGTAGTTCTCCATGTTTCCGCTCCATACAGTAGAACTGTCTTGACATTTGTATTGAAAATCCTGATTTTGGTTTTGGTTGAAAGTTGTTTGGAGTTCCAGATATTTTTCAACTGTAGAAATAGAGCCTTTGCATGCTAGATAATACCATTTAAATATTTTATCAGACGTCTTTATCATTTAAAAGGCATTTTATTAGTGTCTGTGGTAATACAACATTTTTTATTAAGTATGCGTTACATTGGAAAATTATATATCTATTACATTCAACTATGATTATAGCTTCAAAAAAATAATAAAATAACTTTTTCACAACATACTTGTTCGGAACTTTCTTCTGTACGTGCACTTTCATCAGTTGTTCTACCCATTCCAGAATCTTGATCAAGTCGTTTATAAACCTTTAAATGAAAATTGAGTTATGAAATAAACAACGTGTATTCAATTAACAATCATTCTATTAACGTGAATACATCAAAATTCATTTTCATAATATCATAGTATAAGTAGTACAATCAGTTTAAGAAATAAGTTAGTTAAAACAGAACATTCAAAGTACAATTAGCTTGTCTGAAAAAATAGAAAGAATTTTAAAGTAAATTCGTTCAAATCATTTGTGGTACCATTACAAAAAATATCACGGAGCGCTGTAAAACATGTAATCATGATTGTTGTCAGAGTTCAATCCAAGTTCAGCAGATCTAGAGATAAGTGCCTAACCTCATAACCTAAGGATTAACACTTTCAAATTAAGGCAGGACATAGAAACCTATATTGTTTATCGTAAGTGATAACTATCTCTCACTAGAGACATGAACAAACAAGGAGAAACAGCTATCCAGTACTGTCTAGTCCATTATTGAAGATCACTCTTAAGTTAATAAATCGTTCTTAATACTAATCTTCTTTGCCGACTTAAATGATTTCGACTACATAAATTAATTATGCGAAAATACCATTAGATACGCATATAAGACGAAAGGATCTGGGTTTGAGCCTCGTTGTCAATATGAACAGATACAAATGTATATACAGCTGCCTAATCCAAAATAGGCCGAAATGCTTATCTTGGGTTCTGCTCCTGACCGTAGTCCATTGATATTCTTCTAAGGAAGGTTGATGATAGTGGTAACAGATAACTAATATCACACCGTTCACTTTATTGCCAACCAACAGTTCATACATTCATTCATATTCGTATTACCCCTAATGGATTACAGGCCGCCGATCGACATTCTCCAGCCAACTCTATCCTAAGCCTTCCTTTCCAATACTACCAAGTTCATACGTGCTTGTTATTAATACCAATAATTTTATTGTATCATTTTATGATACTTTCAACTCTTAATACTATTTTTACCTCTAAGACATTGTGTTTTTTTTAGCTAGTTCAGTTTTTTATAATCAAAAGGTTATTTAAAAATTTTGGACTTAGAAATTCCAGATTATTTCAGCATTGATTTATCTGAATTTGATCAAACTTGACTAGAAATACAAAAACCTATAACTAAACAATAACGATTTCAGATTGTTGAATGTAGTCAATAGGTGTTATACTCATCACTTGATATGCTTGAAGTATTATGTCTTCAGGTTAGTCGGTAAACGATAGCAAAGACAAGTGGTCCGGTGACACGATAGTCTACTTTAATCCGAGCGTCCCAAGGCCCCACCAAGTAGACAAGGAAGTCTTGACAAGACGTAGAAAGTGTATTCTACAAGCACCCAGAAAATATCATGATCTCAAGCACACAAATCGAGTTTATTCATACATCATAGAAACGTCGTTGGGAGAGCCACAAAAATAGAGTACCAAAATAATATATCAACCAACGATAGTCAAGGATTTTCCAGGTGGGACATTCAATCTCAAGGTCAACTGACCAGCTCATGTTCTAAAACATAAAATCCAAAATTAAGACCTTTTGCAAGAGAATTTCGAAGATCTAACGTCCTCACTAACAGGAAATTTGTTCAGTCAAAGTTTCATCCCGTTTGATACTCAGTGAAAAGGTCATACCTTCAATTTCGAGAAGTCTTAGATGTATTTAGTGAAATGTAAATGCCTATTACCCGGTTTCACAGTCTAAATGACTATAAATGAGCCTAATCAGTTGATAACAATGATTTTCTTGATTTTCGATAAAAAATATTTTTATGATTAATATAACTATATAAAATTTCATTCTTATTTGAATGAAAATTAAACATGAATATAGAGTGTTTATGAAAATCAAACCATGCGAATCAAATATCACTATGTAATCAAATTTAAAAAAGGTAATTTTATACACAATATAATCATGAAATACCGAAAACATTTCAATATTTTCACATTCAAAAATATGAATAGAATGTGTGTGTGAAAAAAACTGTACAAATCTTATTTCATATGTATTAAGATTTATTGTGCACTAATCTAAATTAGTTATTATCATGAAAATAATGAGCCATAAGGAAGAAGAAATTAACGGGGAAATAGTAGTAGTAGTAGTAGTATTAGTATTAGTAGTAGTAGTAGTAGTAGTAGTAGTAGTAGTAGTAGTAGTAGTAGTAGTAGTAGTGGTAGTAGTAGTAGTAGTAGTAGTAGTGTGAGTAGTAGTAGTAGTAGTAGTAGTAGTAGTAGTAGTAGTAGTAGTAGTAGTAGAAGTAGTTTTTATTCTCGCAGCTTTAGTCATATCAGTATGATTAAACTCAATATACACTAAAGAATAGCAAAACAGGTGGATAAAGTACTGTGAAGAGCTCTGGAATAGAGTAGCTCCACATAACACATTGGTTATCAAGGCAGCTTACACAGACATTTTGAAAGATTTTATTTCATCAACAATCGGAGGAATCTACACAGTTATCAGACAAATCATGAGTGGCCAAGCAGCAGGACTGGATAACATATTAACTGACTCACTGGAACCAGACATGATAGTATCTGCAAAGATGTTCTACTCTCTATTCAGAAAGTTTTGGAAGGTAGAACAAGTTCCAACAAACTGAAATGAAGGACACCTTATCAAGATACAAAAGAAAAGAGATTTTAGTGAGTGTGAGAACTAAGGAGGCATCACTTTTCTCTCAATACCAGGAAAAGTCTTCAACGTAGTGTTTTTTAAGTAAATGAAGGATTCAGAAGACCTTCAACTTCAAGATCAGTAGGCTAGATTTTGTAAGGATCAATCGACTGCTGACCGAATCGCCACTTGCGGATCATTGTTAAACAATCAGTTGAATGGTATTAATTGGTCTTTGTCAACTTCGTTGACTACGAGAAAACATTTGAGAGCTTGGATA